CCTTTTCCCCCCCTTTTTCCCCCTTTTTCCCCCCTTTTTTCCCCCATCTCTTCCCCATTTTCCCCACATTTTCCCAGATTTTCCCCACATTTTCCTCCAGTTTTCCCTGGATTTTCCCCCCCTTTTCCCCATATTTGTCCCCCATTTCCCCCACATTTTTTCCACATTTCCCTCCCATTTTCCCTGGATTTCCCCCCCAATTTTTCCCGGATTTTTCCCACCCTTTCCCCCTAATTTTTCCCTCATTTCCCCCCCATTTCTCCAACTCCTTCCAGGGATTCCAGCCCCTGGCAGCATTCCAGAATTTCCTCCCGCCCCACAAAGACCTCTTGGATTTTATGGATGAGCTGGATAATGCCGTGGATGAGTGTCGAGCCTAATTCCTTAATTGTTGGGAAGATGGGATAAAGCGGGATTTACATATCTGAGGGAAAATGCGGATTAAAGGAGATCAGAGAGGGGAAAAAAATTCCATTTTTCCCCTTTCACAAAAGCTCACGAAGCCATCGGGAATTTGGGACGTCTTCATTTATCCGTGGAGCTCGGATATTCCCATGGGATCAGGGCTGGGATTGGGGGGAAATGGGAGAGGGATGAGGGGAAAATGGGGGGAAAATCTGGGAAGAATAGTGGGAAATCCGGGAAAGATGTGGGGAAAAATCCGGGAAAATGGGGGGAAATTCAGGGAAAAATGTGGGAAAATGGGTGGAAAGTCTGGGGGAAATGAAGGAAAAGTGGAAAAGTGGGGGAAAAATGTGGGAAAATGGGGGGGAAAAGCAGGGAAAAATGTGGGGAAAAGATGAGGAAAATGTGGGGAGAACAGGGAGGAAATGTGGGGGAAATGTGGGAAAATGCTGGGAAAATGTGGGGAAATGCAGAAAAATGTGGGAAAAGTAGGTGGAAATATGGGAAAAATAGGGGGGAAATGGGGAAAAATGCAGAAAACTGAGGAAAAATGTGGAAAATTAGGGAGGAAATACAGAAAAATGGGGGGAAGTGTGGGAAAAATGGAGGAAATGCAGGAAAATGGGGGAAATGTGGGAAAAATGGGGGGAAAACATGGAAAATGTGGGGAAAACATTGCTTTTCTCCCTCTGTCCCTAAAATATTCCTGGATCCTCCCAGTTTTGGGGCGTTTTGGTGGGAATTTGGGCCCCCGGTGAGGTTTTGAGGTTGATTTCCCACCCCGCCTGGAGAGGGATTGATTCCAGCTGCCGGAATCCGCCGAAACCCCACGGAACAATTTCTTAAATAAATATTAGGGAAAAAAAACCCTTTGGAATGAGCAAGCACGGGAAGGAGCGGGAGAGGATGAAAGGATCCAGAGGCAGAGGGAGCTCCAGAGGCTCGGGAAAAGATCAGGGGAAAAAAAAAAAAGGAATAAATATGAAAAAAAATGGAATTTCAAAGCTCCGCACGCGGATTCCAGGCCTTTCATCCCAGCCTCCCGCGGGAAGCGGCGCTCGGAGAGCTCCGGCTGGATTTCAGGGAAGAGATGGAGCAGAAAATGCCTCGACATTCCCAAAAATCCAAGGGAAAATCAACGCCCAAAGCGGGCTGGGATGGGGAGGGATCGGGGTGCCGCTGGAATTTATCCCTCTGGGATTTGGGGATCCCCTGGATGCCTCCGGAATCTTTCTGTGTGGGTTTTGGGATCCCCTGGTTGGGCCTGGAATTTTTCCATGTGGGTTTTGGGATCACTTGGGTGCCCCTGGGATTCCCAGGAATCCATGTGGATTTTGGGATCACCCCTGGGAATTCCTCTGAGTGGATTTTGGGATTCTCTGGAATTCATCCATGTGGATTTTGCGATCCCCTGGAATTCCCCCGTGTGGATTTTTGGGATCCCCTGTGTTTTTTGCGAATCACAGGGGATTTGGGGAATTCCCAGCGAGGAGCAGAGCGGGATTTTGGGATGGGAGCCGCTCCCGGGAGGAGTTGCCAAGGGGAGGTTCTGTTGTGGCAACAACTCCCGGGAGCCGCGAGAGCCTCCCAGATCCCTTTTCCAGCAAAATAAAAAAACCGGGAAGAGCGGCTTTTCCTCTCTCTCCAGCCCCCAGGCACGGCCGTGAGTCCCCGGGATTCCCGGGATCCCAGGGAATTCTTTGGGAAGGGTTTGTCTGGGAGAACGGGAGCCTGGCAGCTCCCGGAGGCAGGGTTGGGATCGGGAATGGGACAGAGCAGAATCGGGAATGGGAGTGGGGAATTGGGAATGAGGAATGGGGAATGGGAATGGGAGTGGGAATGGGAATGAGAATGGCAGTGGGAGTGGGAATGGCAGTGGGAGTGGAAATGGCAGTGGGAGTGGGAATGGGAGTGGGAGTGGGACAGAGAGGGGTCGGGAATGAAACAGAGTGGGAATGGGAATGGGACCCCCTCATCCCCATCCCTCTCGCTCCCGCTGCCCCGGTGCCGGCTGGGCCAGGGTGGGATGTCACCACCAGCTCCGGATGCCGTGGACGTCGTCCTGCCGGGCCAGGAGCTGCTCCAGAGGTGCGGGAACGGCCGCGGGGGAAAGCCGGATTCCTCCTTGGAATGGCTCCCTGCTCCAGCCTTCCCGTTTTTCTCCTGGCAGCTCCCGGGAGAGCGCCAGAGACCCCCCGGAGCCGGTGAGTGACGCGGGGACTCCGGGGACAGTTGGGCTTGGCTGGAGCTCGGCTCTGGAATGAAGCCATCCCTGGATTTCTCCGTTCCCAGGAGATGGGCAGGAGCGATCAGAGCCTCTGGCTGCTCCTGCCCTCCCTGTCCCAGTCCCCAGGGTCCCCTGGGGCTGTCACCCCACGCCTCAGGAATTCCCCACCCCGGCATCTCCAGCCACACACGGGCCAAACAATTCCAGGAGATTCCTTTGGGAATGCTCATCCCTCTGTTGTGGTTCACCCCATTCCTCTTTGGAAGAGCTGGAAAGCCCCGGAAGCTCTGAGTGTGGGGGAGACTCCCGGGTCCGACCTCACATCCCTGGGAGATTCCCACAAGGGGGAGGTTGGGAAAAAGGGGGAAAGAGGGAGATGGGGAAGTGGAAGGTGAGGAGAAGGTTTGGAAGGATGGAAGGAAGGGTGGATGGATGGAATCCATGGATGGATGGATGATGGATGGATGATGGATGGATGATGGATGATGGATGGATGGATGATGGATGGATGATGGATGGATGATGGATGGATGG